CCACCTGAGGCCCTCACCCTCATCGGACCACTGCTGGAGCCTCGCCGAACCACAGCCGGAGCCTCGCCAGACCAGAAGAGAAGAGAAGGAAGAGAAGGAAGAAGCTCCTCCTCGACCTCCGCCGGAACCTCGTCGAACCACCGTAGGAGCCTCGCCGGACCACCGTAGGAGCCTCTCCGGACCACCGCTGGAGCCTCATCGGACCACCGCCTGAGCCTCGTCGGACCACCACATGAGGCCCTCACCCTCGTCGGACCACCGCGGAGCCTCGTCGGACCATCGCGGAGCCTTGTCAGACCACCACCTGAGGCCCTCACCCTCGCCGGACCACCTCGGAAGCATCGTCACACCACCGCCGGACCACCACCGGAGCCTCGCCGGACCACCACCTGAGGCTCACCTTCGCTAGAGGCCCTCACCTTCACTAGAGCCCTCACCTTCGCCAGAGGCCCTCACTTTCGCTAGAGGCCCTCATCTTCGCCAGAGGCCCTCGCATTCGCCAGACCACCATCTCAGGCCCTCACCTTCGTTAGAGGCCCTCACATTCGTCGGAGGCCCTCACCTTCGTCAGAGGTCGTCACCTTCGTCAAACCATCACCTAAGGCCCGAAGTGCCAGACCATCACCTGACACCCGGACTTTTATCGTACAGTTGTTATTTGTAATCTGATCACCCTCGGAGGTGAATCAGCCCATTGTAACTGACTTAAATTCTAGTGGAATCATTTTCAACTGGGCTAGGCCTCGTGGTTTTTCCCCTTTCAAGGGTTTTCCACATAAAAAATCTTGTGTTCTCTGTGTGTGAGCTGGATATTCGTGTAAAGCTAAGATGTATAGTTAAAACTCTATCGCCGCGTATATTCTAGCCCACAACATATATCATTATGGGAATGTTGGATGGGTTGCAGTTCTCATTTAATGCTTCTAACATGTTTGAAGTGCTTAATTAAAGAATAGAACTATTATGTTCTATTCCTATTTGCATAATGAATTATACTTCAAACCAAGCAAACATTGGGTAAGATTTATATTATTTGCATCTAAATGTACATACAATATGCATCTAAGTGTGTCCTTAAATGCTCAATATGTAGATAATTGATTGAACATTGCTTTAACTTCTATGTTGACTGGATAAAGCTTACTCTTGTTTTAACATATCACTGCTAAATCCTTCATAATTGTGTGTGTGTGTGTGTGTGTGTGTATATATACACACTATAAATGTGCAACATAAAAGGCATATGTGCACCTATGAAGCCATTCATACACTTCATCATTTGACCCTTCCCGAACAACGACTCTACTTATGTGCGTGCTCATATTATAAGTGGAGATGGGACATATGCAGATCCTCAAAAGTTATAAGTTGTTGCTAAATGAGTAAGGTCTACTAAGTTATCAAAGGTGTGTACTTTCTTGGTATGACAAGTTACTACAACATGTTTGTCAAGAATTTTTCTCAAAATATAATTTTTTTCATAAGAAGACTTAGGCTAGCTTGGTTTGAGATGGCTCTCTTAATGCATCTTAAAGCAGCTTTTAGCATACAAATTTTAATTTTTGTACTAGAAAGTTGCTTTAAGAAGCATTAAAAAAGCCGTCCCAAACAAGTCTTTAGAAAGCAATCTCATTTGAGTGAAAATTAGAATTTGAATAGCTATTTGAGACCACCACCCTCATTGATTATGCCATATGAATCTACAAATTTATAGGGCTAAGTGATGCATCATTGAAGGGCAAGCTGTGTACTTTAGTGCAAAATGATAAGATAGTTGAGGTTTTATATTATCCTTTAAGTGATTGCATGGTAGGTTGAAAATAAGAAACAAATCGTCAACTATTGATGTGTTGATTATACTTTGAAGAGGATTAAATTCTCTTGAGTTGGATGGAAATTTACCTTCAAATTTATAAATATAATGCTTCCACCATTTTGACTCTGAAGTTTATCGATTGTTAGGTTAGCATGTTTATATGTATTTGACTTTATCATGCTTCATTTTTTTTTTCTAGATCATTTGATATATGGCGATGTAACCTTTAATGTATTTTAGAAAATTTTGTAATTTCTTCCTTACGAATGAAAATAAAAAATTTTATCTTAAAAAGGAAAGGAAAAAGCTTATAAATAGTTGATTTCTTGATTATGACTTGGCAAATTAAGGGGACTGCAGGATAGTTGATGATTTTCAATAGAAAAATCTACCAATTTTTTTTTTGAAATATGCTAATAAACAAAATTTTCAATGGATTTCAGATAGATTTAAAACCGTCACTAAAATGCTAGTAGGAAAAACTTTTCATCGAAAACATTTCCAGTGAAAATTTCGTTGAAAATACTGTCGGAAAATGTTTGCCACAAATAATTTGAGCTATAAGTTTTCCATCGATTATTTTGCAAGGGAATTACATTCCAGTGAAAATTCCACCAATTTCGTGCTAAAAAATTCATTCGTCAAAAACATTCATTGAAAATTCTAATTTTTTCTATAGTGAGACAAGGCATACACCTTTCGACCTCCATTTAATGTAAATATAGCAGTGAAGTCGTTAAAGATCAATGCTTTTAAAACAACTTAAGATTATAGAATTAGCCCTCAAGACTTAATCATAATATTCAATATAGCCCAGGTAAAATCTCAAATTATCACTATTGACCTATGTTGAGATCATGATGCCTCCATTAGGGTTCCTCTTGCCCCACCTACTCAGAATATTTTCATGACTATTCATATATTTTATACATAAATGATCAACTTATAATAATTTTATTAATATTATTATCAACTTTGAATTCTCTTTTCATATTCCAAATGACCTTTAGAATTTAGAGATAAGGATTCAATATAGATGAAAATCAATAAATAATTATAATTATTTAAAAAATAAAAAATATATGATACTAAATTATTAAATAATATATCATTTTTTAAAAAAGTATTATAAATAAATATTTGAATTAAGAAATTATGTATGGTAAAGGCTTATATCTAACAAAAATTATAAATTTCAATGCAATATTGCTGAAAATAGAATTTTCTTTTTGAAAAAAATTATAAAAAAAATTCCTTTATGATGTTTTGCCAAAAAAGAATGATATTGACATTTCAACTTTTCAATTTATCATATAAAGCTTATTTTTCCCTTCCTGCACGTAACAATAGAAGCGTTGAAAATTAATTAATTACTTAATTAATATTTTTTTGACAATTACGGCTATATATTTCTATGGGTATCTGACTTAGACATATTTGGCTATGGAAGACTTTTCCTTGTTAGGAACTAATAAAGGTGTAAGCTTTCAAATTAGAGAATAATTAATACATACAATAAATAAAAGAATAGTACTTAGTGCATAACTTTTATTTGGTTAAGACGCCTGACGTAGCTTTACGTTTGGACGCCAGTGAAATAGTGCCACGTTTTCTAACTTTTTACCGCGCGGCCCGACGACCTGACCCGGAACGGACCCGATATTGCTTGGTATTGCTCGGTATTGCTAGGTATTTGTCGATTTTGCTCGGCAATAACGAGAAATACCATTCTGTGAAGACCAATACCTAGCAATACTGAGTTTTTCTAGGTATTGCTCGGTATTGCTCCGTATTGGCCTTGACAGAGCGGTATTTCTTGTTATTGCCAAGCAATACCGAGCAATAGGCGAACATAACAATCCAGGGTTCCGTCCCGGGTCGGGTTATCGGGCCGCGCGGTAAAGAGTAAGAACACGTGGCGACATATTATTGGCGTCCGAACGTAGAGCAACGTTAGGTCACCTGACCTAATAATTGTTCCTGACTTAGACATATTTGGCTATAGAAAACTTTTCCTTGTTAGGAACTAATAAAGGTGTAAGCTTGCAAATTAGAGAATAATTAATACATAAAATAAATAAAAGAATAGTACTTCGTGCATTATAATACATAAATTTTATTATTTCACATGTGTTGATCTTGTGTTGAATTTCTTAGATTGATAAATTACTACTCATTATTAGTCATATAATATGAAAAAAAAAATTACATAAAGATATTTTGGCTTACATTGCATCAGAATGAGCTTAAGAGCCTTTGAATTTACATTGAGATTTGTGCAGTTCATGATATCATATATAAACACTAATCTCGATGCAAACCCTAAAGCTCTTAAGCCCATCTTGATGCAATTTACATCAAGATATTCTTACTTGAATTTGTTTTCCATCTAGAATGAGATAAAGATATTATGTTAACCTAGAAGTCTAAAAAATCATTAAATTTGCTTTAAGACCAGTACCGCTAACTACGAAGAATTTATATTTCACTAATCTCAAAGCAAATCCAACACTTTGTAAGCCCATCCTAACATAAGTTATATCACATATTTTTTCATTGTATATGTATATACATATAAATATCTATGTACATATTTATATATAAATGCACCAACTATAATCCACTATATATATCCATATTTACACCAAAATTCTTCTTCACGGGAATACCATTAACTGTGTACTTTGTATACAAACCATCCACACCTTTGACCAGCACCTCTTCAGAAGAATAACTTCACCTTACAGATTATTCAAACATTACAGAAAATATCATTTGTGAGAGCTCTACCTCGCTAATCCAGTTTTTGACAAATCAAAACAAGTCATTTCTTTAAACTTTGATACCCTGAAAAGATTAAAAAAAAAAAAAAGCAAGCAAGCAGTGGAAGAACACAAGTGCGTTTGAATAAGCTGAATTAATTGCAGGCTTGAAAGATATCAAACCGTGGATGAATTGAATGGGATTCTTTGACCATGTTGTTCTTTCTCATTAAAGTTCTTATCTTTCAACATCCACATGACTAATATGGATCCACTATATAATCTCCATCACCCCCTTACTTTCAATCCTTGAGGACTTCATCATAACTATAACACCATACTAATAGTCCTCTGTCTCTCTCTCTCTCTCTCTCTCTCTCTCTCTCTCTCTCTCTCTCTCTCTCTCTCTAGCTCTCTCTCTCTCTATGAGGTTTGCTGGCTTTCTTTTGCTGTTTGGGCTGCTGGTTTGGCAAGCATGGGGTGATCCTATTCAACAATACGACTTTAACGTAAGCTGATTATGGAAACTCTGCGTGTTATACTGTTTGTGTTGCATGCATGCAGTGCTAAGGCTTCATAAGCTAACACTTTTATCATTTTCATGTGTGGTAGAATATAAGCTTACTGGTGTTCTATGTGGCTGTATTTTAGATTCAAGAGACTTTCTACACACGTTTATGCCAAACAAAGAAGATTTTAACGGTAAATGGTCAGTTTCCTGGGCCAACATTAATTGTTCAGAAGGGGGACACCATCTTGGTCAATGTTCACAACCAAGCTGATTACAACATTACTATTCACTGGTATGATTGAACCACTTTACTCTTATAATAATCTCTTAATCTTTAGCTAAGGAGAAGTTAAAATGTTTTGGTTATTGTTAGGCATGGATTGGTCCAGCCTAGAAACCCATGGTCTGATGGTCCAGCGTATATCACGCAATGTCCGATTCAACCTGGTGCTTCCTTTACATACCAACTGATATTCAGTGAAGAAGAAGGCACGATATGGTGGCATGCCCACATCGATTGGGATCGGGCTACTGTCCATGGTGCCATCATCATTCACCCGCAGAGCAACGCTACCTTCCCATTCCCAACCCCCCAGGAGGAGATTCCCATCATACTAGGTATGCAAACAATTTTTTTTTGTGAATTTTGATATTTGATTGTCAATTTGAAAAATGAAAATAGGGGGATGATGTTAATTTGAAAAATGAAAATAGGGGGATGATGTTATTTGAATAGGTAAGATTTGAGTGCTAGGCATATAGGGGTATTAATAAATGACTCAAATCTAACTAAAAAAAATGAAAGTTTAACTCTACTCAATTACTATTTTGATCGGGTTTAAATTATAGGCCTCGTTATTATTTAAGTTGAGCTCAAGTTGTTTAGAATTACACGAAATCAATTCAGAATTGACTAAACTACTATTTGAGTTCAGGCCATTGAATCAGGTCATATTCATACTAATGGGTCATGATAATCCAAAAACTCACCTGATCTATATAAATAAAAACACTTTGATTATTCAACTCCAAATTTACCTCATTACTATTCATGAATGGGTTAGGCAGGTCTCATAAAGTTAATTATGTTAAACAGGTTATATATATGTAATTGGCTCCTGTTAACCCAAAAAGTTTATGATTCGTATAGCAAACATGTTAGACGAGTCAAGTTCGGGCTTGGCAAGTTCGATTTGATTCAAATTCAAACTCATTTATTTTTTCCTTTATAATCAACAGATCATATTCGAGTTAAACATGTCCAAGTCGGGTTAACCCAAGTTCAAACAAAAATCAAACCCGAATGAAAACCCTAAATGGTATCTAATTGCCCCTTTTCTAAAAAAAATAAATAAAAATAAAAAAAATCACTTTGATTATGCATTCATTGACATCTTCGTCATTCCACAGGCGAGTGGTGGAAAGGCAACGTGAGCCAAGTCATCGCCGACGCCCTCCGAACAGGCGGCGCCCCCAACATCTCCGACGCCTACACCATCAACGGCCAGCCGGGCGATCTCTACCCCTGCTCCCAACCCAACACCTTCATCGCTAACGTGGAGTACAGCAAAACCTACCTCCTCCGCCTGATCAACGCCGCCATGAACAACGAACTCTTCTTCTCCATCGCCAACCACCCCCTCACCGTCGTCGCCAAAGACGCCAGCTACCTCAAGCCCTTCCCCACCGACTTCATCATGATCGCCCCCGGCCAAACCATCGACGTCCTCTTCGTCGCAAACAACTCCAATGGCGGCCGATACTACATGGCCGCGCACAACTACGCTAGCGCCGAGGGAGTTCCTAACGACACCACGACCACCACAGCCATTCTTCAGTATAATTTCGGCAATCTGAATCTCACCCCTGCTTTCCCTTCCACCACTCTGCCTAATCACACCGATAACGCTGCAGCAACCGAATTCGTCTCACGCCTGCGCTCTCTGGGAACGACAGAATACCCGGTTAACGTCCCCCAAGCCATAGACCAGCGTTTGCGCATCACGGTGGCGGTGAATTTGCTTCCTTGCGAGCCGGGAAGGACGTGCTCGGGACCCAACGACGACCGGTTCGCGGCGAGTCTCAACAACCAGAGCTTTGTGCTTCCGTCTATAGATGTGTTGGACGCATATTACAAGAATATAAGCGGGGTGTACGGGAAGGGGTTTCCGGCGGAGCCTCCGCTGATTTTCAATTTCACAGGCGAAAACTTGCCTGGATATCTTCTGTTTCCGAGGAGGGCGACGGAGGTGAGGGTGGTGGAGTACAACACAAGCGTGGAGATAGTGTTTCAGGGGACGACTTTGCTGGCTGCGGAGAATCATCCGCTGCATCTCCATGGGTTTAGCTTCTATGTGGTCGGAAGAGGATTTGGGAACTTTGATGAGGAGAAGGATCCGTTGAACTATAATCTTGTTGATCCGCCTTATGAGAATACCGTTGGAGTTACGAGGAGCGGCTGGGTGGCGCTTCGCTTCTGGGCCAGGAATCCAGGTAAATCTTTTGAACAATTTAGCTTAACTATTTGACTTATTAGCAGAAGGATTAGTGAACCATTAAGATTAACTATGTCATTAGTACTTCTGCTTTCTGCGTTCTGAAAGCACTTTTTGACTGGTTTCGCCACAGGAGTTTGGTTCATGCACTGCCATTTGGATCAACATACAAGCTGGGGAATGGAGACTGTGCTGATAGTTAAAAATGGTACTGGCCCGAATGAACAGTTGCTGCCGCCGCCGTCAGACATGCCACCATGTTGAGAGAAATTACTACGTGCGGAGTTCAGATTATTCGGATTAGTGCGGATATGTACAAATTGTGTATTTACTCTGTATTTACTATGTACCCTCATAAATTCTGGAAAGATCTTACGTCCAGACTCCGCACGTAATAATCTCTCCCATGCTGAAGTAGATACACATATCCATGGATTTGATTGCTGATGAAGAATAATTGATACAGTTGATAGTTTGAATAAGATAAGATTGATGTTCTAATAGTTACAAAATAATTACTACAGCTGATGCTTATGTATTTTTATGTATGATTTGTTTTTATTCTTATTGATGTATGATCATTGATGGATGACGATTGATTCAGTAAATTATATTTTGTATAAAGTATTGGGAAGATTACTATCGGTTCTTTCTACTGCTGATATAGGATTTTACAGTGAAGTTTTCTTGCAGGAATTGAGGTATTTCTTGGCAATGTTACTACTATTTTCTATGAAGTTCGACCAAGTTTTTCAAGAACTAGGGATTTTGTAGGTTTGATCTTTTCTCATGGTACCTAGAAATTTCTCTGATTAATGTAAATTTTGATGCAAACTTATAGATTTTAAAGCATGTAAGTATTTAAATTAGAAATTGTTATAATTTATTTTGAAATCATGTATATATATATAGCCTAAAAAGGGCTTACGTATTTGTTGCGTCATGGAATATTTGCGTCGGTAGAGAAATATAAAGTTTAGCATCTTGGCGTTGTACGAAGATCTAGCACACACACAAATGAAAGAGAAAGTACAATATTTATAAGAGACACCAAGATTTTTATGTGGAAAAGACGCATTAGTGTTCAAGTTTGTTTATTTAAGAACCGAGTATTTAAAATATTATTCAAGTTTGTTTGTTTAGCTAATTAAACGATCACAAACGAGCTTTAATCGAACCGAACAACGAGTAGCTCGTCGAACGTTTGGTTCGCTTGCAGCTCTATGGAAAACCCTGAAAATGGGAAAACCAAGAGGTCTGGCCCAATTTGAATGAATCCACTATTATTTGCAGTCGATTACAAATGAGGCCCTTCATTTGGGGGAAGGCCTTGGCTTGATGTAACAAATATACAACATAGAAAATGTGTTACATAGTGGAAACATGAAGAATCAAAGTTGATGTATTTATTTGGTCGGAAGGATCGTAGTCGGTGCGCGACGTAAGTCGGAAGGACCGTAGTCAGCGGGTGACGGAGGTCATAAAGACCGTTGTCTGACGACGGAGGTCGGAAGGGTCTGACGACGGAGGTCGGAAGGACGACGTCAAGTAGAAGTCCAGCGATGGACAGAAGTTTAGCGTCAGATAGAAGTCCGACAAATGTTCGACGACGGGCAGAAGTCCGGCGTCGGGTAGAACCCTGATGGAATTTCTATGACGGGCGAAAGTCCAGCGTCAGGCAGGCATCCAATGACGGGAGGAAGTCCAATATTGGGTAGGAATCCAGTGACGGGTGGAAGTCTAGTGTCGGATAGGAATCCAGTGACAGGCGCAAGTCCGGTGTTGGGTAGAAGTCTGTTGATGGACAGAAGTATGGCGTTGGATAGAAGCCCAGCGAAAGTCCGACAACAGCTAGAAGTCTGACGTCGGTTAGAAATCTGGTGACAAGCGGAGGTCCGGCGTGGGGTAGAAGTCCGACATCAGTCGGCGGCTGGGTAGAACTCCGGCGTTAGATGGAATTCGGGCAGAACTCCGACATCGATAGGCTGTCGGGTGGAAGTCCGACGGTGGTCGAGGAAGAGTCTGGTGACAAGACAGATCTCTTTTTTCTCCTCATTTTCTTCCTTCTATTTTTGTTTCCTTGCTTAATTATAATGTCAGTTGAATCCCTCAACCGTGGATCATTCGTTGGGCATTTTAATGTCTTAATGCTATCAGGATTTGGTGATATTGGGCTCGTTGGATTCGTTTCGTCAAGCCGCTCGATTTGACTATAAGCATGTCACATTTAAAAACTTTTTGGAAATCCAAATAATGGTTTGAACCTTCCAAAGTTGCTTTGAGTATTTGATTTGGACCATTTGTGCTCGAATTAAGTTGAATTTGGTGTCGTTCGGTTTGTATTTTTGAGACGTTCAGTTCAACTGTAAGTTTACTAAAATTGGAGTTCATATGGTCTCAGGTTTTATTTTTGAAGTTTCCAACTTGATTTTGCCTCGAGATTTGTGCCCGATCAAGATAATTTTTTAATGATATATCATTATTAAATCCAAAAAATGATTACAAGTCCTAAAGGGAATCAAATGCCCACAAATGCTCAAAGAACTATAGCAAACTATTCAGGACCAACAACAAACTCCAACATTCTTGTTATTTCTTCTTAATTTTCCTCTTTTTCTTACCTAAAGCAAGAAAAGATTCATCTTTGACAATTTATATACCATTTAATTTGACATCTTTGTTAAAACCACCTTTATTAGCAGAATAAAGTTCTCCCACTTTCCAAATAGACACAAAGAGACCATAAGGGGAACATCTAACATAGGGATCATCATGATCCTCATTAGAAAGCATGGCCTTCTAATGCAAGCCCTCCAAATTAGGTTGAGACATAACATCCAGATAAATAGAAATGTAAATTATGAGAATTAAATTGAAGACAACAATATTACTAGAAGAAAGATCAGAAATTATAAAAGGAGTCATTTGATTACAAATTTGAGCTCCATGGGACAATATTAGCATTCTCAACGATAGGGTATGGGACAACAACAATAGAGGATGAAGACTCCTCAATATCTTCCACATGTTTATAACCATTAAAAGGAATAACATCAGAAGGATACACATATTCCTTTTTAGTGTCAGAATCATCACCATCAGCAGAAGGAACATTAATAGGCGAGTTATTACCAATATCTTTGGTTTTCTCTTTTCTCAAGTGGGGATGTAAAATAAAACACTCAGCATAAGCATGACCATGTATTTTGCAATGATTATAAAAAGGAACATTTTCTAATTCAACTTTCTGCATATAACCAAATTTTTAAGATCAACCCATATTTCTTTTGGGTTTTTTTTTACTAATATCCAATTTAGTAAGGACTCTGGCAACAAAAGGGTATGAACGAGAGGCAGTGGCTTGGTCAGTTTTAAGGGGGTGACAAAAAATAGAGCCAATGGCATGTAAAACTTAGGGGTTGAATAGATCTAAACTAAGATTAGGGAATGATATTCAAATAGGAACAATAGGTGACTCCTCCTTAATATCAAAGAAGGGAGTCCACTTCAACACACACATTTGACAATTATTAATATAGTAAGCTCTTCTTGCAAACACCCCACTATAGTCTAAATTATTAGTAAGTTGAATGACAACATGTTTGGCATCGAGAAGGCCAATAGACAACATACAAGAAAGATTAAGGTTAACAAAAAAAAAGATGGATAGCATCTAGATTTGTCCGATGCATAGTAAATTTTCTTAGCAAAGTAAATTCATAAGGAGCTGTCAACGTTTCTAGAACATCATCAGAATAAATTACAGTAGGAACCCCCTTAACTGAAGTTTTTATGAAGGAAAAAGACGGAGATGAAGAATAGCTCATACCATTCACCACATCTTTAAAAGAACATAAGTTAGAGGAAATACCATGACCAGAAACCCCAAAAAGGCCCTTAGTCTTAACTGTCAAGCAGATTTGGACAAACCCCATGGACTTGGAGGAGGCATCACCATCCCAACATACCCCGAGCACCAATTAGGTAGTTCGCAAGCATGATGAACTTAGGGCTGAGGGAGCTAGGGCATCATGAAAATGGGGACAAACCAAACTAGGGGAGTCGTCCTTGGCCAATTATGGACGCCAGACTCAGGGCAATGACAAGACAGAGCTAGGGGGAGGGGTTAACACTTTCAATAAACTTATGATCAAAATTAGGTTCTTAACGAGACAAATCCAATGATATTAAGAACATCCTGATCCGAGTCTAAATAGGCTTAAACTTAACACGTTGGAGTATAATTAGAAACTTTATGTTATCATTTGCAAGGTAAAAATGATATTTTATTTTGCATGCTTATTGTCAAAATGATTTCATTATAAGATGAATTTGATGAGTTTAAGATTATTCAATTATGATATCATTAAGGTAGTAAGATATTTAATTAATAAACATCGAATGATCCAGGATGCATGAACTCTGACTATTAGATGGAGTGGCTTAATTTATGGCTGAAATTACTAAAATATACCATTTTGAAAGATCTAATTACTGCGATAATATTAGTCATTTACGATGAGATTTATAACCGGTACTTGGGATTGTTCTAAAATATCTAATAAATCATCTCACTCATACATGCCCTTATCCCATTTCATCTCTCTCAAAATTTCCTTCCATGTCTCTTTTACTATGTCTATGATTGTTAGAGATTCAAAGGGTACTTCCCTCCTCTTACCCTCAATCTCATATCTTGAACTCCAACTCGTTTGACTAGTTCTATCTTCAGCCGACAAGTTAAACCTCCCTTATTGACCCCTCATCATCCTCATTCATCCCACCATACTCCTATAATTATCGCCCCCTCGAGTCGTATTCATCTTGTAGCCACTCAAACTATTAATTATGTAGATATTATTTGCTTTGTCCTAAGGGCCTTATGGTTTTATCTTTTTTGTGTAAGTTCCTAGGAGATCTATCCATCTCAAAATATCTATAGGATGAGCATACTTAACTGATGAGTTTCTTTAATGAAATTATAACTGTTACATCAAAAGACACCTCTATATTTAAGAGTTTAGCTTCTTTTTATTTAAGGGGTTTCATAATATCTCACACCTAAATAACTAAGGTTCTTATAAATATCTTAAATTCAAAATCATCCACTAGGTAGATAAAATTCTAGAGGTGGCATCAATAAATCAAGTGGTGACTCTATCCATGTAGCACTGTATCCCTTATAAGGTTCAAGAGGTGGCTCCCATGGCGTAGCCCTTTATCTTGTATGACACTTAGTTCTCATCTTTTTGCTGGTGTATTGATCTGATATCATTTGTAATAGCCTAAACTCTTAGTTATCAAAATATTATCCTCTTTGGCCTAAGGGCCTTATAGTTTTATCATGTTAGTGTTCAGGAGGTCACATATCCCAGGATTTCTCCAGGATAAGCACACTTAACTACTGAGTTTCTAAATGAAATTCTAATTATTACTAAAAAAGACACCTCAATATATAATAGTTTAGCTTTTTTTTTTTTACTTAAAGGGTCTCACACATCAACTCCCAATCCACCCCCCACTCATCATCCCAGTCCAATCAACACCCCCATCCACCCCAATACCACACCAACACTCACTACCCCACCCTGCCTA